TTTTGCTTTACTGCAACTTTCCATCTTACTTTTCTGGTTTTGCCAAAGAATGGCGAGGAGGAACCCAAGTTAGGGACCCGATGGGCCTAGACTACACGGGACCTCCATTCACAGTCCCAGCCCCGAGCCCCAGGCAGCCGTGCAGAGGGCCGTGAAGCCACCGCTGTGGGGAACCCATTCTGAGGACCAAGCAAAGGGTAAATAAAGAGGTCTCAAGATTTTTAGGAGGTGAAAACAAAGCAAAAAAATCAGTCAATCAATGGCAATGCAACCAGAATCTACCAGGAAGTGGTAACAATCCCCAAGTGGAGATCAGCATGTAGGAACCGGATCGTGTTTGGTAATTTCAGGCCTGACACACCACAGGCCCAGCGGCTGGCCGGGCGGCTCCTGTAGAATTCAGGACACTCTCACTGCTGCCCGGTCCCCTCGCCTCACAGTGGCCCCTGTGAATGGAGGCCTGGGACGTGGGTGGAATCCACAGGCCCTTTGAGGGCCTCTTTCTCTGGGGCCCCGGGCCGGGCTGCCTCCTCCCTCGGGCACAAACACAGCAGACGGTTTTGTGAAGAGCTTTTTAGTAGCTAAATATGGCACCATGTGTTCCAAGGGCAATATAAATTACAGTATGCAAAACTCACTGACTGGCTGAGGTAAAACACGCTGTTCCTGCCTCACATCACCATGAGGGGAAACACACAGATATTCTTAAAAACATCTTGCTTATAAAAAACGTCCCCTAGAAAGGCCTCCTGAGAGGGGCCGGGAGGCTCAGCCGCGGCCCGCTGCCCCCCCACCCCGGCCCGCCCGCTGCGGGCCGCGCCCCGCCCCCACTACTGGCCCAGGGCCTTGTCCAGGTTGTTCTTGATGGTGTCCAGGAAGTCCGAGGTGTTCAGGAAGTGCTCGTTCAGCTTCACGCTGCCGAGAGAACACCGTTCACGTGAGGCGCGGCTCCAGCCTGAGTCCGGGCAGAGCCCGAACTTGGGCACCCGAGGAGCTGCCCTCCCGTGCCCGTGGGGCGTGGCACGCCCCGGCTGCGCGTCAAAGGTTGCCTAGGGCCCGTCGCCAAAGGGCCACACAACTTCAGACATTTGTACAGACGGGGACGGCAAGGCTCTGAGCCCCTAGCCTCGGGGATGGGGGCAAACTCACAGGGTCTCAGGGCTGTGGACCTGGCCCACCCCAGGCCCTTGGCAGCTAAGCTGACCTGAGGATGAGGAGGGGGGGGGGGTGCCTCTAAGAGGGTCCTCTGGCTTCTTCCCACCCAGGGAAGAAGGTCCCAGAAGGCCAGCCCCTCCCTGTGCCACCAGCCACGCACTTGCTGAGGCCATGGATGCAGCCCGCCAGGTCCTTGGTCATGGCTCCGCTCTCCACCGTCTGGACACACACCTTCTCCAGGGTCTGTGCAAACCTGCAGGGGACGGGCCAGAGTGAGGCCCCGATACAGAGCCCGCCCAGAAGCTGCCCTGGGCCAGGTCAGGCCCCTCCCTCTCCGCTCACCTGATGAGGTCCTGGTTCCCATCCAGCTTCCCCCGGTGCTCCAGGCCACGCGTCCAGGCAAAGATGCTGGCGATGGGGTTGGTGCTGGTAGGCCGGCCCTGGGGGCGAGGGTCGTAGGGGGATCAGGAGCCGAACCGGCCAACAAGGGGGCCACCCGGACGCGACCGCCCACCCGTAGGCTGACGGGTCAGTCCCATCCCCCCAGCCCTCAGAGCCAGTGGGTTCTGAGCCCCCGGGACAGATGGGCATGCGACCACGGTCCCTACACTCACCTTCTGGTGCTCCCTATAATGGCGGGTGACCGTCCCATGAGCGGCCTCAGCCTCGATGGTCTTCCCATCTGGGCAGACCAGCACAGACGTCATCAGGCCGAGGGAGCCAAAGCCTGAAGAGTGGAAAGACCCTCCATTCGGTGCCGGCACCCACCCTCCTCAGACCACCGGGGTTGAGTCCCCCTGCCCTTCTGCTGGGAGGAGACCCCCTCAGCTCGTGACCCCCAAAGGCACCCAGGAAGACAGCCACTGTTTCGGGCTTGCCCACCCTTGTCGTGGGTCTCTAGAGCCCAGCACAGGGCAGGGGGGCGTTCAAAGTGGCTGTCATCAGCCTATTCACATACATCTGGGTTCCCAGAGCCTGGGGCCCCCAGAGCCCAAGACCCCAGGACTTCTGCCCACCCAGCCTGG